TGTTTCCTCCTCCCAAGTGCTGGGACTAAAAGTGTGTGCCACCACTGCCTGGCCTCTAGTGGCTAGCTCCACACTCTGATCTTCAGGCAAGATTTATTTGTTAAAGCGCAAATAAAATATCATCACACATAAAAATAAAAAAAAGGAATAACCTGATAATTATCCACTGTACAATCTACCCAATTATAATACCAAATCAATAATCAGCCTAGATTATTGCTTACCAATCTCTATGTCCTGATGCAGGGACTTCCCATTCTCAGGCAATAGACCCCAGGTACCTGGGTGCTGGCTTCTTCAACCCAACTAGAGAAGAGATGTGCACTAGAACCTCTCTCCCTGCAACTGTTCCTCCCAGCCTGGATGATGTTTTCAGGGTCCTAAAGCACTTGCACACACATGTGAGCACACATAAACTAACATATGCATACGCTCATGGAGAATGAGAACTCACAATCACCTATACATATAACCTGGCATGTACATACATGCAACCATGCCAAAGCATGTGGATTGATATAAACACACACATGTGTATCTTTTGTGTACTTGTTAACTTAATGAAGTAATGGGAATGTAGCAGAGTGATAATTTTTACACAGCACTGTGGATTGGATAGGCAATGTCCTCAACAGGTAATGTTTTGAATGGTTGTTCTCTGGTTTGTGGTGCTATTTTGGGGCATGCTGGAAATGTCAGATGGTAGAGGCTAGCTGGAAGAAGTAGGTGACTAAGGAGGGAACCTCTGGAGCGTATCATCCCTGGCATATCCCTGTTTCCAGCCTTCCATAGCATGAGCTGGACTGCTTTACCATACTTTCCACATCACGAAAGACTGAATTATTTAAAACCGTTAGCCAAAAATCTTTATTCTTGTAAGTTATCTGTGTCAAGTTGTCCACAGTGATGGAGAAGGGAGGTTTGTACATATGTGGGTCTGTAGTACGGTGGCTTGAATGAACAATGTCCCCCATAGTCTGGCATTTGAATGCTTGGTCCCCAGTTGGGGAAGTGTGGCTCAAGCTAGGAATGTGACCTAGGAAATATGACCTTGCTGGAGGAAGTATGCCGGGTGTTCAGAGTTTAATGGCACGTGCCACTTTGAGTTGGCGCTCCCTGCTTCCTGTTTGCGGATCAAGATGTAAGCCCTTAGTGATCAGTTCCAGTTGCCGTGCCTGATTGCTACCTCACTTCCCCACCCTGTTGATGATGAACTCTTATCCCTCTGGAACCATAAGCCCCAAATAAATTCTTCCTTCCTTCATTCCCTTACAATGGCATTTTATCACAGCAACGTAACAGTAACCAAGATAGGGACCAATAAAAGAAACTGGTACCAGAGAAGTGTGGTTGTTGTGACTAAGCTTGACCATGAGGCTTTTAGGCCCTTTGAACTAGTTTGTAGAAGGCATTTGGAAGAATTTAGAGTTGTAGTCTAGAATGCTTAATAGATGAAGCCCTAGAATGCTTAATAGATGACTTTACCGGGAGCTCAGAAGACCAGTGTGGTGGTTTGAATACAAAACATCCCCCGTAGGCTGGAGCATTTGAACACTTCGTTCCTAGTTGGCAGTACCATTTGGGGAGGTGGTGCAGCCTTGCTGGAGGAAGTATGTCACCAGGGGGTGGGCTTTGAAGGTCACAGCCTCACACTACTTCCAGTTCATTCTCTCTTGCTTTGGCATTGAGGTTGAGGATGTGATTCCTCAGCTTCCTGCTCCAGACGCCATATCTGCTTGCCGTCAAGCTTCCTTACCCTGATGGAATCTTATTCCTCTGAAAATGTAAGTGCAAATAAACTCTTCCTTCTATAAGTTGCCTTGCTTGTGGTATTTTATCACAGTAACAGAAAAGTAAGTAATATAACCAGAATATCTGTAGTAAAGATTGCTCATGAGATTTCAGAAGGGAAGAGAATTTTATTGGGAATTGGACCAAAGGCCATTTATCTTAACAACTGGGAAAGAGTTTGTATATATCTTGTTCACGTTCTGAAACTTTGTGAGGGGCTGAATTTAAAGGTGTTGGACTAATTAAATTTGCCAGAGGAAATTTTAAGACAGGGTAACATACAAATGTGGCATGATTATTGACGACCACTTTTAGTCAGGTGGACAGTGAGAATTAGGAAGAAAAAAGGAACAGAGTATAATGATTTGAAAAACATGGTTCCTGGCCAGAAAAGGTTCAAATGAAAAGTCATGGACATGAAAATTTTATTGTTAAGGAAATTTGTACCTGTTGAAGAGAAGCCAAGTACTTTGCATGGGATAATAGGATCTCACATCATAAACTCATTTGAAAGTCTTTTCTTTAAGAAGAGAGTGCCACTCAGGTACCCTGCTACCACAAGACCACCCAAAGAAGTCTTTTCCTGGGTTCAGGTTCCTACGCACTTAGTTGCTGCAACAATACTCCAAGAGTGAATCCTACTGCTCCAGCTGGTGGTTGACTATGACATCATTCATGTGGTGCTACCTTTGTAGCTATGCAGGGTCACTATAACTCCCACTGGGATTTTTAAGAAAGGGATTAGAATCCAGACAATATATATCAGGGTCAAACTGACTACGGAAGAGGACAGTGAATGAAACTGTAAGAACGAAGCTAAAAATCGAGCATTGTGAGGAATGCACTAATCCCAGCACTTGGGAGGCAGAGCCGGGTAGATCTCTGTACTTTTGAGACCAACCCAGTCTACATAACAAGTTTCAGGCTGTCTAGGGATACATCATGAGACCCTGTCACAAAGAAAGCAAGGGCTAACGCGTCAAAACATCAATGTTGAAGATGCTGGAAACAAGAAATGTTTTCTGAGCAAAGGTACAGAATGCAGAATGAATGAAGCCAGCCTCAGAGAGAGGCCACGAAGGCCACAGAGATGAAGCTGCCCACAACCACTGAAGTGCAGATGATGCCAACATGTGCCCTGGATGCTGAACATGGAGACTGCCCTGCTGGGTTTCAGTCTTGGTTTGGCCCAATCCCTCCGATCTGTGCTCCCAACTCCTCTCTTTAAAGAGGTTTGATCTCTGGTATTTTATCTTGGATGTACAAAATTTGGGGATTTTTTAAAATTAATTTTATTTTACAAGGAGTTTTTTTCAGACACTAGACACTTTGGACTTAGACTTGGGGAAAATGTGAGAACTGATACAGCTTGGGGACTTTTGTAAATGCAGTAAATCCATCTCGTATTATGAGATAGCCATACCATTTTGGTCCACTGACAGAATGTAGGGGCTTGAATCTGAAATTTTCCCTCTGTGTTCATGTTTTTAATGTTTGGGACTCAGGGATGTCATTTGGGGAGGTTAAGGAAGCTTTAGGAAATGTGAAACAACTAGAAAAAGTTGGTCACTGGAAATGCACCTTAGCCACTTTCTGTCTTGATCTCTGTCCCAACCTACCATGATATAAACTGAGCTGTCCTGAATTCCTTCCCAACCACAATACACTGGACACACACACACACACACACACACACACACACACACACACACACATACACACACCCCGCCCCGCAACAACCATGAGTTCAAATAGAGATTTCTCCTTTAAGTTACCTATATAAAGTAATTTCATAAGAGGAAAAGTAACACACACCATGAATTTTATTGATTTTATCTATTGTATAACGTTGTTAGTTCCAATTTTACAAACCCTGAATTAAGATTAAAGAATGGTAATATGAAAGCATTTCAGCGATATAATTCACAGTCATGTTGAAAAGCAGTAATACACTATATTATGTTTGAAAGTCAATTATCTTACTGGGCAGTGATGGTGTATGCCTTTAATTCAGCTCTGGGGAGTCAGAAGCATGTGGAGTTTGAGGCCAGCCTGCTCTACAGAGTGAGTTCTAGGATAGCTAGGGATACACAGAGAAACTCTTTCTCAAAAAAAAGTCAATTATCTAAATTAAACTATCCATGCATATAACACAGGAAACACACTACGACTGGAATTATTTATTCAACTAATAGTATCTACTGTGCATTAAAAATTGTCCTAAGCCTAGGAATGAATATATACATTAAATAAATGATCAGAACAAAGATCTTTGTTCTTACATAGTTGCCACTACATTATCCATGTATTATATTTCTTTCTCACCCCTTTGTAAGATGACTTACCAACATATATGAAACTAATTGTGGGTTTGTTTCTCTTTCTCATCCCTTTTCACATAAAACTTTTCCATGAAGATATGGTAAGTATAAATTCTAAAGTATTTTTGAGTATATATAGTGATAGCCTTAAATGCTGCATTTGAAATGGAGGCAATATTAAAATTCCATTAGAACTGTACTTTACTCAGGACTATCAAGAAATAATTGATCCCAGTGTGGTTGAAGTACATAGTGGCAAAGTCCCACAAATGTTGTGTTGTAATAGAGTGAGTCCTGGTGAAGATCAATCACATTCAGATAAGTAACTGGGGCTGGAGAGAGAGCTAGGCTCACAACCAAAACACCAAATAAGTAACTGATAAAAATATTTTAAATTTTAGCTGGGCAGTGGTGGCGCACGCCTTTAATCCCGGCACTCGGGAGGCAGAGGCAGGCGGATCTCTGTGAGTTTGAGGCCAGCCTGGACTACAGAGCGAGATCCAGGACAGGCTCCAAAGCTACACAGAGAAACCCTGTCTCGAAAAACCAAAAAAAAAAAAAAAATTAAAATTTTAAAAAGCCCTTAGTATATAAAATCAGAAGGGAGTTTTTAAAAACAGAAGAAAAAAACACATCCCATACTGTACACTTTGATAACTTTTTAGCAATATAGTCAAAATCTTTAAAGCTTACTATTCTCACTATAGCCTGTTGCTATCTAGATTTTGAATCTTTCATTTTATACTTCTGCAAGTCTGACACCAAAGCATAGGAGTTCTAATCAAAACATGATGCTTCATTGCAATTAAAGTTATCAAGGATTGCTAAAAATAGAATTTGGGAATAACCAATAATTACCTTTTATAACAATACTTGATGACTATGCATCCTCAAGAAAAATTCAATAGAGCTAGGCAGGGTGGTTTATGCTTACAGTCCCAGCACTTGGGAGGCAGATGCAGGAGGATCGCTGTTCAAGGGCAGACTGATCAACACCAAGAGTTTCAGGACAGCTAGAGCTACAGAGTGAGACCCTGTCTCAAAAAAAAAAATAAAAATAAACAAACACAACACACACACATACAAAGTAAAAACTCTCAAGAGACAGAAATTGTAAAAATCACTACTTGGGTCAAAGGCACATCTACGCTAAAAGAATGTCCTCTTGTCTGACCATACCTGTTTTATACTATGCTATGTACTTCTTGCTTATGTTGATTAATAAAATATTTACTGGGTACTGTGGAGTGCTAGTCTATGCTGCACCACCAAGACACACAAGGCGTCTTCCTCCCAAGAATTTGAAACTCCAGTGCAGAATGACATGTGCTAAAATAACTTTAGAAAACATTAGACTTCCAGGCACAAAGTTAAAGTGCTGTGAAGACAAGCTCACAGGTATACGCATAGAGGATAACGGGCCTCTGAAGCAGCCAGAATGGCAAGAAAAGATCATTTCTTACGATCTTTGTCCTTCTTTACATTGGTGCACGCCGGAGTCTGTGGCGGATCCGAGGCAGCCCTCATCCTGTAAAAATCGATGATTTGCTCTTCTAACTTTCGTCTCTCTTCTTCCAGCTTCAAGATCTCCTCTTGTTGGATTCTCTTCAGGTGTTCAAATTTGTCCTGCAGCTATTAAAAAAAAAGAAGAAGAAGAAGAAGCCACTCTGAGTCACAAAGATTCATGATATCCAAAAGGCAGAGTATGACCTGAGAAAAACTTATTTAAAATCCTCGGAAGCCCGTAAAAGGGGTCTAGGACCAGGGGGTGGTGGCAAACGCCTATCATCCCAGCACTGGGGAAGCAGAGGCAGGTGAGCTCTGTGAGTTCAAAGCCAGCCTGGTCTACAGAGCGAGATCCAGGACAGCCAAGGCTACACAGAGAGACACTATCTAGAAACAAATCAACAAAAAAGGGTCAAGGGTACCACTCCTGTTCTCCTAAAGGTTTAAAGTTGGTATCAGTCACCTTTAAGTAGCCCAAAACTGTCAAAAGATAAAAATACAAAACCTAAACTTCGTAGTGTAATTGGCGTCTATTTCTGTTTCTAGAGGTGGGCAGTGGACCATTCTAAGCCTATTATATATTTTTCAAGACAGGGTTTCTCTGTGTAGTTTTGGTGCCTGTCCTGGAACACACTCTGTAGACCAGGCTGGCCTCGAACTCACAGAGATCCACCTGGCTCTGCCTCCTGAGTGCCGGGATTAAAGGCGTGCACCACCACCACCACCCGGCATATTTATATTTTTATATTATTATATTAGATGAAATATGAGGGTGCCAAGGAGACAAGCAAAGAGGGGGTTAAAGGCAGAAGAAGGCTACAAAAGGCAGAAATGGGAGCCAAATCCAGACCGGGGCTGGAAAGTTGCTTTTCTTAGGGGTTTTAAGCGAAGTTTTACTACACTAACTCAAGTTGACTATATTCTCTTGAGATTTTTGTCTGTCATTCCTTCTCTCTTTTCTACCCTGGAGGTTCCAGGATCTAACTCGGGTCTTCAGGCTGAGTGGCAAATACCCTGACTTCCTGAGACACCTTGCTGGCCCCAAACTGGTCCATTTTGAAGCTTCATTTGATTATACATCATTTAGCATGGGCGATTCCCTTCTGGTTTGGTCTGTACATTAAAATCTAATATAGAAAGTTAGTGAAAAACTAAATTCCCCTAATTTGTGAAAAATAAAGGTTACATTTATTGATTTATTCCAGGTGGGGTGGGGTAAAAGCACATGCCACAACGTGAGTGTGGAGGGGGGGGGTACTTAATTGGTCACCATCAGAATGTCATTGGAAACATGTACAGCAAAGGACTTGGTGGTGAGGTCTCAAAACTGCAGGACAAGGAATTGGAAACTGAACAAAAGCCCGTTCTCCTCACACCGTGGGAAGGAACTTAGATGAACTGTTTCTGGGGTCGAGGGCTTTAGTGAACACAAGCTTTAGAATTAAAGTATGTGGCAAAGAGATAGTTAATCAGCAGAGCACTCAAAGTGTGGTGTGGCTTTTTATAAAACTCATATAGTAAAAAGAGAGAACAGAAACTAAAGATTGAAGCCAGGGGTGGTGACACATGCCGCTGAGCCCAGCATTTGAGAGGCAGAGGCAGGCAGATCTCTGAGTTCAAGGCCAACCTGATCTATGGAGTGAGTTCCAGGACAGCCAGGGTTATACAAAGAAACCCTGTCTGGAAAAACAAAAACAAAACTCAAGATTGAATTCATAACTAAGTGGAAATACCAAAATTATTGAAAACTGAAATTACATTATAAGGAAGTTTTCAAAAGAATGCTCAGGAAATGTCCAAGCAACCCTTTGCTAAAGAGATTAATATAGTTAGGAATCAGTTTTATTCATGAATACAATGGGGAATGGCCCGGAGAGGGTTGGGAGGTCCTTGAGGCAAGCTATCTGGACAGGTGTCCGGGTGGCCTCAGGATTCACTGGCGTGAATTGCCACAGTACTCCTTAGTCACCCCAGCCAATATCAAGTGGGAATGGGTATATGGCTCCGTCTGATGCTCTAGAAGGTACAAATTCTAAGTCTTGGCTTCTACCACGTGATGCTAATTCTGTGGGCATGTACAAGGTAAGAGCTGTGAGGCCAAGATGTCTCCACATAGAGTTCAAAAGATACCATAGGTACCCTGGGGGGCCCTGTCACAGGATCATAGCTACTTGAGAGGGACTCCACTTAGGACAATGCCTAGTGGAACTATGGAGATGGGGCAGACCCCAAGATGCCCTGTAGGGCTCCCAGCACACAACTCCATGCTGGGAGAGCTGTAAGCAGAAGAGGCACTGGGTGAACTGAGAGGGTAGTCCCTGCCCCATAAGGTCATAGACACGGGGCATTTAAAAGATAAACTCTCAAAATGCTCCGGGGGAAAAAAATATAATTTTAGCCCCTAATTTCATAAATGCTACATTAAGACCTCACGTATGGGCTGGGCAGTGATGGCGCACGCCTTTAATCCCAGCACTTGGGAAGCAGAGCCAGGCAGATCTCTGTGAGTTCGAGGCCAGCCTGGTCCACAGAATGAGATCCAGGACAGGCACCAAAACTACACAGAGAAACCCTGTCTGGGGGGTGGGAGGATCCCATGTACGAATAGCTACTTTCAGAGAGATGGAAAGTTTCTTCCAAAACAAGAATCTACTAGAGTCCATCCCTCGAAGAAAAGGACACAGAGAACGGACGCGAGGTTGGTCATACATGCCTCCTTTTCAGCATCCTTAAAGGTCAGCTCCTTCTCCTTGACTCGCTGCATAAACATGTGCTTCAGTTCCTCCTCCTCCCTCTGACACTGAGCCTGGAACTCTTGTCTCTTGGCTTCATACATCTCTTGGAAACTAAAAGCGAAAGTCAGTTATTCCTGTATTTAAAAAAACGCTAACAAAGGGCCAGTGAGCCGGGAAGAGCGGCAAGCACTCCGAACTAACCACTGAGCCATCTCTCCATCCTGATAACAACGTCTTGGCTCACCTCACTGGCTGATTGTTTCGGCCCGTGTCGTTGAAGCCAAGTTTCTGCAGTCTGTTTCTCCTATAACATTCGTAATGTTGAACGTGGGTTTGGTCCTTCAGATCCTCCATGTTAGTAGACAGAAGCAAATCCCGGAGCTTCACAAAGTCACAGTGACTTTCATTTTCCACTAGTCAAAAAAAAATTATAAATTCATTATGGAAGATTTCTGTTATTATTTTGCTGAATAAGCTTTCTACTATTTTGGTTATTCTCAATCGAAAATTTTTTTTTTAACTCACTGATTATTTTTCTCCTACTGATTTAGCCTTTGTAATATCTGATCTTGGTTTCAACCTGACACACTGGGGAAGAGGGAACCTGAGTGGAGGGATTGCCTCCAATCAGACCGGCCAGTGGGCACATCTGCAGGGCATTTTCTCGATTGCTAACTGATGTAGAAGGGACCAGCCCGCTGTGGGCGGTGCCATGCTGGGCAGGTGGATCTAGGCGGTAGGCACTAATCTTTTCTTGTAGGCACTAATATTTATTCTTCAGTTTTGCTCGAGTGTGTCCCAGGATTCTGAATGGCATATTTCAGGAAGACAGAGACCGTGTGCATGTGGCACACTGGTTGAACAAAGAGACTTTGTAGGTGTGGGTTTAAGTCAGTTTCTGGCAAATGCCTATAGCAATGGTTCTCAACCTGTGAGTCGTGACCCCCTTGGCAGTCTCATGTTAGTTATCCTACGTATCAGATATTTACTTTACAATTCATAACTGTAGCAAAATTACAGTTCTGACATAACAACAAAATAGTTTTAGGGTTGAGGGTCACCACAACATGAGGAATTAAAGTGTCGCATCCTTAGGAAAGTTGAGAACAACTGTTTTATAAAAAGGAATTGTAAACTGGGCGATGGTGGCGCACGCCTTTAATCCCGGCACTCGGGAGGCAGAGCCAGGTGGATCTCTGTGAGTTCGAGGCCAGCCTGGTCTACAGAGTGAGATCCAGGACAGGCACCAAAACTACACAGAGAAACCCTGTCTCAGAAAAAAAAGGGGGGGCAGATCATAGTCACTCTAAGGTGGAGCTTAAACGAAATGGAATCTGTGTCCCTCGTTAGCAACTACTAACCTACAAGTTAGCTAGCGTTATCAACCCTGGCTCAGATCAAAATGCTATTTGAGACTAGGGATGACACAGGACATACTGGATTTAATCGTCATGAACCACGATCTCCTATTTACCTTGCAAAACTCCCCAAGGGTAATGGCGGCCTCTGACCATCCTTTTTCCAACTTTCACCTCCTCCATACTTCCTACCACAGCAAAAGGTAACAGCCCCTAAACAGATACAAAGGATACAAGTGAAACTCCCTTCAAACACTATGGCTTACTATGTTGTTCTTTTTCTGTGATAACAAGGAGCAAAGTGGGGCTCGTATAACACATTTAATTACACAAATAATCTATCATGTCGGACTTTTATGCTTAGCGGAAAATATGTGCTAATTAGTTTGTTAAGCATTAATCTCAGGCTGACATATAATTAAAGACTACCTACCTAGTGGCACTACCTTTCCTAAAGCAAGGCATCATGATGCGTGCAGTACAAAGATAAAAAAAGATTGTTAATACACAGTTTTTCTCCCATTATCTTTATACTAAACACAAAGACAATATTGCGGAGTTGATATGAAAACTACTTTAATGATAATACATATAAGTTAACAGATGAAACTATTAAAAATAAAAATTAAGCTGGGCAGAGTGGTCCACGCCTTTAATCCCAGCACTCAAGAGGCAGAGGCAGGTGGATCTCTGTGAGTTTGAGGTCAGACTGGTCTACAGAGTGAGTTCCTTTGGCTGCCAGGGCTACATAGTGAGATCCCATCTCAAAAAATAATAACAAATAAATAAAAATTATAGTTAGTTCATGGGTACACAGTATAAAATATGCTAATAAACAATATTATGTGTGTCCTCAGGAGGGCTAAGTTAGTGATAGCATCTTCGATAAAGTGCTTGCTCTGTGAACACGAGGACCCGAAACTGATCCCACACCAAAAACCAGGTACGAGCCAGGTGGCAGTGACACAACCTTTAATGCCAGCGCTTGGGAGGCAGAGGCAGGTGGATCTCTGAGTTCCAGGCCAGCCTCTTCTACAAAGCTAGTTCTAGGACAGCCTGGGCTACACAGAGAAACCCTGTCTTTAAAAGGAAAAGGAAAGAAAATTCAGCCACAAGCTGGGATGACGCTGAGTTGTCAGTTGCTAACTTGCATGTGTGAAGCTCAGGGTTCAATCCACAGTACTGAAAAAAAATTAGCTTAAATGTATCATAGTGATGACTGGAGTCTGGGAAGTGGGTGAGTCAGGGGCTATACAGAGAGACTGGATAATGAATATATAAAGACAGATGGGTGGAATAATTTAGGCTTTTCTGCAGCATAACAGAAAACAGAGTGAAATGGAAAAAGAGAATCCAAGGAAGCTTTGTAACTTACAAGGCAAAAGGCAAAATGTCAATCAAAAATGAACAAAGACTCTGAATATATGTTTCTCCCCAGGAAGACATAAAAATATACATAAACCTATGGAAAAACATTCCACATCTGTAATTACCCAAAATGCCAATCAAAAACACAGTCGGATCCACTCATACTAAGTAATGTAGTCAGATTTTTTTTTAACATTTATATAGCATGAATTAAGACAAAGAAATTAAGTCAAAACTCTTGGGGCAGGTGCCTTGGGAATCAATACAACAGATCTTCAAATGATTAGATATAGTTGTCATATGATCTAAGAATTCTACTTCTAGATATACATACCCAGGAGAACTTAGAGTATCTACCATCACAAACACTTGTACATAAATGTTTATAATAACATTATTCATAATAGCAAAAATGTGGAATAAGCCCAAGTGTAGTATATTCACACAATGGTATCTAGGCGTGTGCGCACACACATACAGAGAGAGAGAGAGAGAGAGAGAGAGAGAGAGAGAGAGAGAGAACAGATACTTGTACAATGCTGTAAATCTTGAAAACATCATCCTAACTGAAGACAACAGATACAAAAGAGGACCTGTGATTCATTCACATAAAATACCCAGAAAAGGAAGCCACATATTGAAAAATACCTATTACATAAATTGGTGCATAAATTTATACATCTAACTTAAATGGTATTTTCCCATCTGGGCTGGCAATGCTCCCTCCAAGATACAAAGACCATCTAACAAAAAACTCAACACCAGGCATAAGAAGCCCTCTTTTGCATTGTTGGTCAGGGTCTTCCAAACAACTCCCATAACATTACAGGCGATTGTTGTTGGCTTTGGATGTCCCTAAGAGGTGGAACAAAAGTCCTTGTTGCTGAAGACACCACATACTTCCAACATCATCAGTCCAGAGTCCCCTGAGCTGGAACTGATCTAAAAGCCTCTTCCTGAAGACTAGCTTTTACGGTTCCAGAAGATGACTTGCAAGCTTCCAAAGGAGGGAGGCAACCAATCAGGTCTGGCCAGCTATGATGCCTAGGAATCACAATAATAACCAGCATGGAAAAAAGAACCCAAAAGTGCAGCAGTGGCACACACACCTTGGCAGTAACCAACAGTTCTCTGATTGGACGTAAGATCTGATTAACAAGAGGGAACTCGTTCCTGGTAACAGAAACCCAGCCAGCTAGCCAGGGCCAGAGAAGTCATGGATCTTGGAGGAGACCCTACAGCCACCACTTCACTAAACCAGCACAATCCCTAACCGTTAGTATTCTGACCCACCCCTTGGAGACCCGCCCAGCATCCTGATGTCCTCTTACATTAAAGCCCCCTTAAGATGAAACCCCCCTTGCCGGGCGGTGGTGGCGCACGCCTTTAATCCCAGCACTCGGGAGGCAGAGCCAGGCGGATCTCTGTGAGTTCGAGGCCAGCCTGGGCTACCAAGTGAGTTCCAGGAAAGGCGCAAAGCTACATGGAGAAACCCTGTCTCGAAAAACCAAAAAAGAAAAAAAAAAAAAAAAAAGAGGAAACCCCCCTCCCCTTCTCACCAGAGGTAGCCTGCACCTCCTCCCTCCCTCCCTCCCTCTCTCTCTCTCTCTCTCTCTCTCTCTCTCTCTCTCTTTCTCTCTCTCTCTCTCTTTCTCTCTCTCTTTGATTTTTTTTTTTTTTTGGTTTTTCGAGACAGGGTTTCTCTGTGTAGCTTTGCGCCTTTCCTGGAACTCACTTGGTAGCCCAGGCTGGCCTCGAACTCACAGAGATCCGCCTGGCTCTGCCTCCCAAGTGCTGGGATTAAAGGCGTGCGCCACCACCGCCCGGCTTCTATTTGATTTTTTGAGACAGAGTTTCTCTGTATAGCTTTGGTGCCTGTCCTGGAACTTACTCTGTAGCCCAGGCTGGCCTCGAACTCAGAGATCCACCTGTCTCTGCCTCCCAAATGCTGGGATTTAAACTGTGTGCCACCATGTCCAGCTTAATTTTTAAAAAATTAAATCTTCATAAAGCTATTTAAAGAAAAGAATTTGTGTCGGGTGGTGGTGGTGGTGGTGGTGGTGGTGGTGGTGGTGGTGGTGGTGCACACCTTTAATCCCAGCACTCAGGAGGCAGAGCCAGGCAGAACTCTGTGAGTTCGAGGCTAGCCTGGTCTACAGAGCAAGATCCAGGACAGGCATCAAAACTACACAGAGAAACCCTGTCTCGAAAAACCAAAACAAAAAACAAAAAAAAAAAAAAGGAAAGGAAAGAATTTGTATCTTAGTACGTAAGAAGGAACTAAACTGAAGACATTTTGAATAAAACTTCCATCTTGACTAGGGGTCAAGTAGAGTTTAAGTTCCCCAGACCTCCCTTGGTAACCGACATCCTGGTTGGCAAGGTAAGACATGAATGGTGAGCAACCCACCTTGCCCTACTTGAGTGAACCAACCAATAAGAATAAGATAAGTGTACTACAGAACAATGTTCCTAGGGAAGTCTCTAATCTTTCAGTCCCGATTGGTGAAAAAGGTAACCATAACTTGGCACAGGTGTACTATTGTCCCTGACCGGTCAGTTTCTGCCATGCTGCCCGATCCAATAAAATCTTGCTTTGCGTAACCTCTTTCGTCTGCTCAGATTGTTCTGGCGCCTCAGTACCACAACAGTAAATACGTTTCAAAATCAAGAAATTAAATAGTTGGGGAAATAGTTCTGTTGAGAGACTGCTTGCCTTCACGCACAAAGTCCTGGGTTTGAATCCCAGCACTGTATAAACCAGGCCTGCTGGCATCTACCTGTAATCCCAGCACTCAGGAGATGGGATTAGGTTTAGTGAGCCTCATCTATGTAGTAAATTCAAGGCCAGCCTGGATGACATGAAACCCTGCCAAGGAAGGATGGAAGGAGGGGATGAGGGATGGAGGGAGGAAGGAAAGGAGGAAACATTTCCCCCAGAACATATTTTGAGGAAAAATGTATTGTTTATTGTCTCTTGTCTGATACAAGTGACAATAAAGTACCAATCATATTACCAACTGTCCTTCAGTCTCCCATGTGAAGGGAGTTGAGGCTCAACAGACCAAGCTTACATTTACTGAGGTGCTTACTTGCGCCGGAGTTTCATCATCTATTGGGAACTGGTATATCTGGATGCCGTGGCTGGTCAGCTCCCTCATTATGTTACTCTTGAACCTCTGGAGGTCGCTTTTGGAAAGCGAGTCGGCTTTGGCAATCAGTGGTATGATATTCACCTAGTAGGAAGGAAGGTGGGTCAAATCTTACTATTTTTCGGTCTAAACCTTACACCTGGGGGAAAAAATTGTGCCCATGGTTTGTGTTGCTGGTGTTGTTCATGACAGGGTCTTTGCTGGCATTCCAGGAAGAGGGCTGAAGTTACCCACAGGTGTGCCCCATTATGCTCAGCCACAGAGAACTCCTTGTTTGGGGGAGTGCTGAGGATTAAAACCTCAAGCCTTGAATGTTACAGATAAATGTTGTACCCCTGGGTTACACCTTGAGCCCTCACCTTTTATCAGAACTCAGGTCTAGAAGCCTTGACCTTGTTCCTTTTCTAAAAATCCCACGCCCCCAGTGCCTCTGTAATCAGCATAATTTAAGCAGTAGGATTCAGTAGACCGATGACTTATCAAACTGGCTGAAAACGTTGGGAGAGAGGGTTTTTCTCCCAGCCATCATTCCTGGAATCGATTCTCCATAAATGCATATTAACCAATGTTCATTCACCCTTGTCCTACCCAATTCATAGCTGTTTAAGCCTATAATAAGGTATGGATGAATCAATATCAGCTTTAAGTCAGTTGCTTTTAATTTAGAATTGTCAAATCACATTTTTTCAAATCCTTGGGCAAATGTCATATTTTTGCAAACACTTATGCTAAGCTGGGGGAGGGAGGGAATCTAGTAAATGACTAGAAAATTTAATCAAATGAACAAAATTTAATCTAAATTTGTGATAGAGATATATACACACATATATATACATATATATATATATATGTATATATATATTTCCCTATTTAGTTGACCCTCTATGACAACACATGCTCATGATAAGTTAAAGCAGTGGAGAAATGTATAAGGTTAGAAATGAAAGTATTCTGGCAGGAGCTATGGTCTTGGGGAGAATCTGAGGAACTACACCAGTTTAGAATGTGTCTTTATGCAACTAGATTATAAATGGTATTTTTAAGATTAAAAACTGAACGGTCTCCAAGAAGCAGATGAAAGCTTTAAATTCAAAGTGTTAAAGAGACTGAGAAAACTTGAGGTAACACCCAGCATCCTCACGAATACAATGAACCTAGACTTCAGCAAATGCTTCCAAAAAGCAATGGTCCCTCTGAGCAAACTGGAGAGCAGGCTGAGTACATTGGTGCTGAGGCACAGGGTCATGTATGCCTTTAAGGACCTGTCCATTCCTATGGTACATTCTAGATAAGAGGGAAAGTCGCACACATCATTGTGGCTGTAGATATGTGTTGTGGGCATGAGCCTAGAGTTCCTCCATGCCCCAACCACAGGATGCCCTCTCCCTCACAAGAACTGTACATCAGTTCTCAAGTCTAGAGCAAGCTTACCTTGTCCTTATACTAGAGACTCACAAAAACTTGAAGATTTTTCTAAAACCATGGGGAGAAGAAGTCTGTCCCTGGGCAGTGGTGGCACACGCCTTTAGACCCAGCACTCCAGAGGCAGAGGCAGGTGGATCTCTGTGAGTTTGAGGCCAGCCTGGTCTACAAAGTGAGTTCCAGGACAGGCTCCAAAAGCTACACAGAGAAACACTGTCTAGAAAAACCAAAGGGAAGGAGGAGGAGGAGGAGGAGGAGGAGGAGGAGGAGGAGGAGGAGGAGGAGGAGGAAGGGAGAAGGGAGAAGGAGGAGGAGGAGGAGGAGGAAGAGGAGGAGGAGGAGGAAGAGGAGGAGGAAGAGGAGGAGGAGGAGGAAGAGGAGGAGGAGGAGGAGGAGGAGGAGGAGGAGGAGGAGAAGAAGAAGAAGAAGAAGAAGAAGAAGAAGAAGAAGAAGAAGAAGAAGAAGAAGAAGAAGAAGAAGAAGAAGAAGAAGAAGAAGAAGAAGAAGTCTGTCAAAGGAAATCCAGCTTGGTAGCACTTGTAATCCTGACACCCAGTAAGTTCAATTTTTTAAATGTATACAAATGGCTGTGATCTGATTAGAATTGTTTTGTTTTGTTTTGTTTTGTTTTTCAAGACAGTGTTTCTCTATACAGCTGTAGCCTTGACTGTCCTGGAACTCACTCTGTAAACCAGTCTGATTCAAACTCATAGAGATCCACCTGCCTTTGCTGGGACCATAGGAGTGTGCCACCATGCCCAACTCACCTGACTAGAATTTAATAACAGAAAAAAATTCAAGTTTTAGCAAGGCAATGGTGGTACACACCTTTAATCCCAGCACTAGGGAGACAGAGACAGGCGGATCTCTGTGAGTTTGAGGCCAGCCTGGTCTACAGAATGAGTTCCAGGACAGCCAGGGCTACACAAAGAAACCTTGTCTCAAAAAAAATTTTTTTTCAAGTTTTATTTGAGGGATGGGAAATTTTGGGGGAGTTGTTGATTTTTCGGTTATTTTTGGTTATTGTTGATTTTTTTTAAAGACATAGTCTCACTCTGCAATGCAGGCTGCCTAAAGACTATGTAGCCCAGGCTGGCCTCAAACTCACAGCTGTCCTCCTGTCTCATCCCTGTAAATCCTGAGATATCAGCAAACCAAGCTCTAATCAGTCATTGTTTTAAATAAATTTACCTGGAATGATAGCTAAAAATGAATTCCATCAAATGTTAAAATTTCCCTCCCCTAAATTTTATATATTGGTGTCTTACCCCTCTATATCAGTATCAGTACTTGCAGATGGAAATTTTAAATTAAAGTTAGACTGTTATAGTGGGGTCTAATCCAGTTTGATTATCAGCCTTAAAAGAAAGAGAAATGTGGCCTAGTTTAAAGGCATACCTTTAATCCCAACTCTGTAAAAATGGAGGCAGGAAAATCAGGAGGTTAAGGCCAACCTCAGCTACAAGTTCAAGGCCAGCCTGGGCTACATAAGACTCTGTCTCAAAAAACAAAAACCAGAATGTTGTCCATACAGACACCAGCAGATAGGCCATGTGAGATGTAAAGAGGTAGCCGTCTGCAAGCCAAGAAGATAAATGCTAGCATTTTGATTTTCTAGCTTCCAGGACTATGTGAAAAATGATTTTTAAAAAATTGTTTAAACCATCTACTCTCTGGCATTTTGTTAGGAACGCCCTGGAAAATTCATTCAAATGCTTTCAAGAGCAACAGAAAAAAAATATTTAAATAATATGCACATATTCTCAAACAGCAGGAAGCTGCCCACGAATGCTTCAAGATACGTTGTTGTCATCTCAAAACATCCGTGGAACCTTGAAAAATGGTGGGGTTATCAAACACACCCTTCTGTCGATGTTCTTCATCGTCAGCAGGTCCAGGGACTTAAGGGAGTGTCCGGTGGGTGAGATGAAGTAGAAACACACATGGATGCGAGAATCCTGATAGTCACACAAGGAGCGTTTGATCTTCAGCTCCTCCTGGAGATACAGCTCAAACTGAGCATCTAAGTAGTCCACGAGTGGCTGGTAGCTGAAAAAAAAAATCAATATTTAAACATTTAGCACAACAGATTAATAAAATCTGAATCTGGTGTCTCACTATTTAATCAACATTGTGTGCAATGAATAGTGTGTCACTTGATAAAACTGATGCATTTCCCTGGGTGGTGGTGGTGGCCGGGGGTGGCGCACACCTTTAGTCCCAGCACTTGGGAGGCAGAGGCAAGAGGCTCTCTGAGAGTTTGATTGAGGCCAGCCTGGTCTACAGAGAGTTCCAGGACAGCCACCAAAACTACACAGAGAAACCCTGTCTTAAAAAAATAAAAAATAAAAAAGATGCATTTTATTACCCATAAAATATTCCAAGTTAGGGGTGTGGCTCAGTGGTAGAACGCATGATACCCAACTCCTAATCCCTAAAGAATATGACTTTATTTTAGGGGAAATAGGGTTATAGATGTAATTTTGAAATTTTGAAGCAGGTCATAGTGGCACATTCCTGTAATCCCAAAACCAGAAGTCTGGGGCAGGAGGATTGCTCTGAATAGTCAGCCTGGACTATTTAGTGAATTCAAAGCTACCCTAGGATACGTAGCAAAATCTAGTCTCAAGAGAGAGAAAAAATAGAAACTGGAAAAAAAAAAAAAAAAGGTCATTGGGACCCTCTGTACACATCTTTAGTCCAGTGATAAGTGTCCTTCAAGATACCATAAAGACCGAAGAGACTGCTGTGTGAAGGTGGAGGTACAGCTGGGAGGGACTTAGCCATGAGTGACAGTTGACACCGGAAGCTATAATAAACAAAGAAGGGCTCCTTTCCTAAAGCCCTAGTCTGGGTGGACTCTAGAAGGCACCTTTTCGCTTACTCTGTAGCTGTCCTGGTTGGGCTTTTGTCCAGTTGACACTGAGAGGGTCCAGGAGCCAGACCAGAGCCATGATAGGTTTCTAATAGCCCTGCTAGGGACCAGGCCTCAGTTTCAGTTTACTGAACTGGCTGGAGCTGAGCAAGCAGTTCTTGGAAAGACCACAACTCAGGGGAAACCAATCAGCAGGCGCCCCACAGCCTTCTGCTGGCTCAGCAGGTGCCCCCCAGCCTTCTGCTAGCTGGAGATAGCTTCTCCTACCCTACAGATGGAAGGTCCCTCACCACTAGAGCTCCCACCAATCAGCCCCCAGACTAATCTTTCCTCCACCAATCAGCACCAGATTAATCCCTCCATTCTGAAATCCCCCTAACTCCGCTAAAAAGGAGCTTGCAAAACCTCCCTTTGGGCTCGCTATTTGCTACCCAATCTGTTGGAAACAATAAACGCGCTTGCTAAATTGCGCACGTGACTGTTGGTCTTTCTTGGGGGCTTCTCTCAGACCCTAACAACACATGCATATCCAGGAAGAAGAACCTCAGCTGAGAAAAAAGACTCCATCACACCGCCTGTGCGGAAGTCCACAGGGCATTTTCTTGCGTAATGACCGATGTGGTAGGGTAGAGCTCGCTCTGGATGGTGCCTTGAGTGTCTAAGACAGCAGGCTGAGCAAGCCACGAAGAGCAAGCCAGTAAACGTCACACTATGTCCTGCGATGCGGAAGCCAAATAAACCCATTCCTGCCCAAGTTGCTTTTAGTCGTGGGGTTTTTTTTGTTTTTTTTTTTTTTTTTTGGTTTTTTCGAGACAGGGTTTCTCTGTATAGTTTTGCGCCTTTCCTGGGACTCACTTGGTAGCCCAGGCTGGCCTCGAACTCACAGAGATCCGCCTGGCTCTGCCTCCCGAGTGCTGGGATTAAAGGCGTGCGCCACCACCGCGGCTTTAGTCGTGGTTTTTTATCACATCAATAGGAACTAAACTAGGAGAGCAGTCCAGGCTGATCTGAAGCTCACGGCAAATCCTCCTGCTTCAGTTTCTCACAAGCTCTGACACCACGATTCTTGATTTCTGGACTATAGAAGTGTGAAAGAATGTTTCTACTGTCTTAAGCATCAGTTTAGAGTGATTTATTACAGTCAATTGCAAGGAATGCAAGGCGAATTGTGAGACTTATGTTTTACCACAGAACAAAGGGTGTAGCGTTTAGGAGAATTAAGCTGATTATTAAAATGATATTCATTTTCTAAAAACAACTACTTAAAGCAACATGCCATGTGCTTTCGTTTCATCCTTTTTCTGACATATTCTTTGTTCAAAATCTTGTCCTGAAACAGCAAAATAATGGTGAGTATTTAAAATGGTCTTCTCTGTAAAGAAAAAAAAATACTGATTTTTAGGATTTGCTGGCTTCAAGGTGGGCACAGTGGCACATTCATTTAATCCTAGCACTTAGGAGGCAGAGGCAGG